GGGCAGCCTGTTCCACTGTCTGACCACTCTTTCCTGGAAATTTTTTTCCTAATGTCCAGTCTGAACCTCCCCTGTTGCAGTTTAAAGCCATTCCCTCCTGTTCTATTGCTAATCACCTGTGAGAAGAGACCATTCATCTGGTAGTGACTCCTGGAGTCCCTCAGATAAACTGTCACACAAAATCACTCGATAAAACATCATATCAGCTCAGGAAACCTATGAGACAAGCCTGCAAATGTGGATCAAGCTTAAAATATTTGAAGTGCAAACATTTATCAGTAAGGGGAGGCTCTGTGGCCTGAGCTCACGTGGCATGTGCTCTAGCGAGAAGACTTTGGTGTCTCACAGTCAGCTTTGGAACTGTTCTCTCTCCAGTTAGATTTTCTTTGCATGCAGGTGCCATTCCTCTGGACCCAATAGCATCAACACCAGTGAACTGATGAATGAAGAGTCTGATCTTATCCATACAAGAAAAGAAAAAAAAAAAACAAAAAAAAAAAACCAAAAAACCAACCAACCAACCAAATAGAAACAAACAAAGAAAAAAAAAAAAAAAAAGAGTGAGAACTCTGGACTGAGCAGTGGAAGTGGGTATCCTGAATCTCCCTTCTCTGTAAATCCAGCTGCTGTGGTTATTACCCTAAAACTGAAAGTACAGCTGGAAGTATCAGAATTCCTTAAAACCAGAGCAAGATCCTTTGCTCTTAACATTAAAAAAATACCATCCTTGAAAAGCCCTTCTTTTCTGAGCTACAGGCCCAGAATATAAAGCACCTGAAGCCAAAAAAAGTTCACTTTTGTCCTGCAAAAGACGTATGTGAGGACACTCCTGAAAAGAGACTATGTGAGTATGTGTGACTGATCCCTGCAATGTAAGAGGGCCCAGAGGAGGTGAGCAAGAATGATGAGCTCAGGGAAGAGTGTAAGGAATAATGATGAATAGTCATCATGAAAGCTGAAGTTATCTCAAAACAGGGGGGACTGGATGGCAACTTTTGTTTTAGGTATACAGCTGTATCAGTCATCAGACTACATAAACAGCCTTCCCTGAGATAATTAGTTAAGAGTAATGTTTTCCTGAGCTAGCCAGATCAGTGTGGGAGGGAAGACTCTATGCCACTCAGCCCAATATAAAGTATAAAAACTGAACAACTCACAAAATCAGCTTGGAAGGGAATGACTGGCTTGAGCTGAGTTTAACCCACATATTCCTTCCCAGCAAATGGGGACACACAGTGTCATGGTGGTAAGCATTTAGAGACTAGTAATGGGAATTTCCACAGTACGTTTGTATTGTGATTCTGCTGTATATTGTAATTGCTGTACTGTGCATGTGCTGCAATTTCAATATAGTGCTGTATCATTCTGATAAATTGAAGTCCTGGGTACATCTGTAAGAACCTGGTTAGCTAGTATTGGACTCCAGCTGGGAGCTGCTAAATGAGCCCAAGACAAAAGAAGAAACCATCCCAGAAAGCAAGACCTCTTCCTTTTTTTGGATTACCTGTCCCAGGTCACTGAATTTAAGATCTTCCAGTAGGAACTCACACATCTGTCACAGATGCAAATACTGAAGAGTTGGTGCATTTAAAGTTGACTAGTATAGCCACAGACGCTAAATCTTTAATAGTCACATCCAAATAAACCTGAAAGGAAATGAGAAACCTGCCTAATTTGCTCAAGTTCTCCCTGAGTTTAGAAAAAAGCCACAAAACCTCAAATGACTGGTCGCATAATATTCTCTCTGAACTAAAAGACCTTTTAATAGACCACTAGAATCAATTAAAATGCAGAAGACAATCACTTTTTCAGAGGTTCCAGGAATGCATGAGCCCAGACCTTACAATCTAATATTCCCGTACAATGGGAGGAGGCAGCTACAGGAGGAACACTAGATCATTTTGCTTGACAGGCAATAAAAGGCTTGATATTCAATGCTAAATGAACTAATAGTGGCAGGACTGTTGGAGACATTTAATTACTGCAATAATTTAATTATGACAATTTAATGTATCTATTCTAAGAGAATTTCTTGAAAATTTCTTTCTGAGTAACTGATTTAAACGTTTTCTTTGACTTAATATTTAAGAAGATTTTCCTTTGGGAACTGTTTCAGGTATACATTGTGGATTAAACTCTGCAACACATTTTTTCAGCACACTACTCCAGTCTGTATATCACTGTAAGACCTTCTGCCCAGTTCGTACAATAAAATGCTGCAGGTCCATCAAAAGATCTCTATAAAAAATTAAAATTTCCATTGAAATCATTAACAGGCACAGAGAGAAATCTGTAACAGCAATTACTGTCATCTTATTTTTGAATCATGTATTTTTGCTCTTTCTCATTTATTAATGAATCATTATCATGGCTAAAATATGGCAAATAACCTGCTGTGCTTGAAACAGCAGAAGTTACAGACCTGAATTTGCAGTCATCACAGACTAAACATCACCATGCTTTGGCAGATTGTGTTTTGGTTATTAAAATTAGACGACAGCTCAAAACACCCCTTTCTACCCTGCCAAAACCACCTGATGAAGGTGTAAATTGACAGGAAACAGATAAGCCTATAGGCTAAAACCTAAAACAGATCTCAGGAAAGAAACAAAGCAAAAGGGCAAGTAGGAATAACTGCCTGATCCCAGAGAAGCATGTAATAGGAGACGTCTTCTGAAATGAACATAGAAACTGTTTTGGCTTTAGTTTTACTCAAGCAGCTACTTCGCTTTCCTTCTTCCTACATTCAAACTGGGATTTGCTTTGCACTTTCTTCAGCTGCAAGCGAACTTCAAAACTCACAGAGGACACCTGTGCCCTAAACCCTATGTAGAGCTGAAGGAATATAAAAATCTTAGCAAGACAAGATTTCTTGGAAATCTCAGTTTCATTAATCAGTTGTCAACAGTTGTTAAGACCATGCTTGTAACAACATAGACAAGATAGCAACTAGAAGCAGAGCAGAAAAAAGGTCAGTGACGAAGGACTCCCTCAGTGTGACAAGCAGTAATGCAAGTACTTAACTATTCATATTCTTCCCACAAAACATAACTCTGGGTTTGAACCGTCCCAATTAGGGAACTCTAATGCTTTGTAGAGGTGTAAAGAGGAAAAAAGTAAACACTACACATAGGTCAAATACACTACCACAGCAAAAGGGAAATTGGGGCAATAGGGGGAAGTAAGCCAAAAATTCCCTATTGAGAAGTGGCTCTAATTTCTGCCTGTTGAAACATCAATCCATTTCAATACAAATCTCTCTGTCCAGACTGTAAGGATTAAGCATTTTTGCCAATTTTCCTACTTTCTAACTTCCTTGAATTGTTTGCTTTATAAATAGGCTTCAGTGAAGTCAGTTACATGCATTTAAACAAATGTCACCTACTTCATGTACAATTGGACAACCACACACCATTCTACATTCCTATCTCTGCTTTTTAACTCCCAATCATTTTTTAGAGATGTTTATGAAATCACTGCTATGTGCAAGTACCAGTTGTTACCAATACAAACAGTAAGTGATGCAGCCCTTTTTTATGGTTGATTGTGTAAGACATCTCACTTTCAAAGAAAAGGAAATTTTAGCAAATGCTTGGGAAACATATTGTGCTCATTTTCCATAAAGAGTTAGAATTTCTTTCCTAGCCTGGCCAGTGGCAGACAGCAATACAGACAGAGAAGATGAAGGCTGTCAACCAGAAAGACTGCAGTATAGTGCTGGGGTGGGTCACAATGCAGTAATCAACTGCTGAAAGACAATTGGTTGCTTCCCCATCAGGTTTTTTTCCCCACTTCAGAGATCTGTGATACTGACAGCTCTCATGGGCCTAGCAAGAGTCCACATCTAGCCCTAACATCACTGCACCAGGAGTTAGTGAGGTGGTTTTTTAAAGGAAAAAAAAAAAAAAAGAAAAAAAATTGCTGCAGGAGAAATTCAAGCCCATTGTCAGGTTAGACTACATCTCTTCTCTTAGAAAAAATTTTTTATAACAGAAAAGGAAATGTCAGCAATTGGGCAGCAGTCCCCTCAACCTGGTGCTACTGAAACCTGCAAGATAAGCAATAATCACCCCTCTCAACGCAATGGAAGGAATATTTACTTGAGTCAGCCATTAAACTGATTTCACCATGAAAAGCTTAAACACACAAGACCTCTACACTCCACTCATCCATCAGTGTGCCTTAAATTTACCTTGCTGACTGACTTACTTTCATTGGGCTGCTTTTCTGGAAGGTTATGAAGCTAAAATATAACTGAAGGGCAGGGCCAATAAGCACAACAGCCAGAGCATAAGATGAGGGGAGACACAGATCTTTGATCGGGGTGGAAGGAAACAGTGCTGAACGTTAAGAGTATGAAGTTACCCTTATATTTTCAGAAGCAGCTGACATAATGAACAAGCTCATTGTAGCCAGAGAAGAGGACGTGTTTCTCCCCAGCTCCCGGCCCTGCCTTTTTCTTTGTATCAGATCTGATACTGTTGATCTTCCTCTGACTCTCCACTAGGAGCCAAAGCTGCTGCTTTAGCAAGCTGAATTGTCCCACAGAAAGGCACAACCAGCACCAGAACTGGTGGAAATAAGAAGGGTGGTAATGACAGTACACAGGCAGGGGGAAGAAAGGGATGGCAGAAGCACCCCAACCACAGGGTGTGGTACTGCAGCAACCCACCATGCCTCAGGAAATCACACTTTAAATTCCCAGAGAGCAAGAAGAGAAGGTATTCTGCAGAGAAAACAATCTGCTATCTAGCCATACATGCCAACAGCATAGCAACAGTTGTTTATACATCTTTTCCTTGTCACTTTTTGAATTTGAGCATTTTCAAGTGTAAGTATAAAGCATAACAGCAACAAGACTTGAGAACACTGTGGGAAAAACCCAGCATCTAAACCAGAAAACTACTTCAGAAAAAAAGATAAAAAATGTCAAGCTAGTTTTGCCAAAGTCTTGGGAAGAATCCTGAGAGACAGAACAGTTAAAATTTTAACACACCGTCTGCTTTTCATTTTTAATCAGGTATAATAAATGTACACAAAAGGATGCATCAGCATTTTTGTTCATCTTAAGTATATGAAACGGTAGGAAAACTAGATACATGGCATGAGTGAGGTCAGAAGTATCAAGACTGGTTCAAAACATTTCAGAATGTCATGCTAACAGGGAAGCTTTTAAAGACATCATGAACAGGGCTTGATTAATATCAAGAGCTAGAATCCACACCACAAACAAGTTTGCCATGGACTGAGAAAAGTAATTTTCCTCATGTCTAATATATTCAGGAATTTCAGCTGTGAAGGCTACAATAGGGTTAGTTAGCATGATGCCATTTTCTCTTGTTTTGAAAGAGTTCATTGATTAAGCAAATTATTAGACTGTAAGTGCAAACTGCTGCACTACTTCGTCATGCTAAATTATTTTTAGAAAGAGTCTTAATAAGGCTGAAATAGAGGCAGCAGCATTTGAGATATTAAAACCAGTCTAGCACCAAGCAGCTCCCAAAGTCTAATTCTGCAATCGCCCTTTGGCAGATGTCTTTTAAGGAGCAGATAAAAAAAAAAAACAAACCAACAAACAGAAAGAAAGAAAATCACAGCATACTGCAATGAAAGTCACAAATGCCTGACACACTGGATAAGTTAAAAAACTACAGTTGAGATGTGAGTTAAGACCAAGAGTTTCAAAGATGAGGACAACATTCTACCAGTTACATTGTTTATGGGAACACTGCACTCCAACATACTGTGGACTGTATGTTATCAGAGTACTTGTGAGAAGCAGTACCCTGAACAGTATAGTGCCTTCTTGATACTGCCAACAGTCCAATAATATGTATGTTCACTGCAGCACTGCACTTCCAAGAATATTTCTAAGTGCCCTCAAATGAAAAGCCTCTTCTACAGCTCTTGCCAGCTATGCTAAATAATTCTTCCCATCTCCCTCACAACACAAATGCGGTGAAAGGTTACTCCAAAAGAAGAGGTTAATTTACGTACTTTACCAAAGGAATTAGACTTTTTGCAGTGCTTTGAAGGCAGAGCAAACAGGTTGGAGTTCTGTCATGCTGAAATGTGTATGTTATATTTCTCTATGTTTCTGCAGCACTTGCAGGTGTTCTTAGCTGGCCTAATTCTGCTCCTTCTGAAAGCAATGAAAACTACTTCCTAGGGATCACCAAAGCCAACATTAAATGCCTTGACAAAGCTTTGCACTAAGTGTAAAACAACCTCAACTTCACTCTCAGCCAGATTCAGCTCCCCATACCCTGTAAGCATAAGACAGCCATTGTAAAAAAAAAAAAGAACAACCAAACCCCCCCCAGATTTTAAATGTATTCAACCTTGCATCCTTTCCTTCTGTAAAGCAATTCAGATTTTGTAAACTAAATGCATATTCTAATTCTGAGATGCTTGCATTTTCAATATATTAAAAGTGTATCAAACCGAAATGACAACAAAGAAAAATGTGATCCCATTTGCATGACTGGTTATCTACTGGTTTAGAATTCTGGAAAGTCTTACACACAGAATTAGAGAGCATTTAGTTTTTAAACTAAATTTCTTGGCCTAGCAAAGTGAAAACTGATGTTCATGACTTCTAGGCAGGTACTTCTACAACTTCAATATAGTCATTGGGCAGAATTACATAGCCTTTTCCTGCCAATATGTCTTTTTCTTTCTGAAACTGAACAATCTCTCTCAGTTTTTCAATTTGTCTTTCCTGACGCCGACATCGCTGTTGCGCTGTCTTGAGCTTCTTCCGTAGTTTTTCAACTTGTTCCTCCAGCTGCTGAATTCTTTTTCGCTGATGAACTGTATCCTCTACAGTATAGTTGTGATCACAAAAAACAGCAAGATTGCTAGGGGTCTGGAGAGGAGGCATCAATAATCCAATACTTGGATCTACAAATCTGGCATCTATTTGAGACAAATGAAAAGAAGGAGTTGATGGAGATGGCGGTAGTACTGGAGCTGGTGGTGGTGGTGGTGGTGGTGGTGGTGGTGGCAATGGAGGAGGTGGTAGTGAATCTTCCGGCTGTTCTGCAAATTCTTCAGGCTAGAAACAAGAAAAAAAGTAAATTTTCATTCTTGACATTGTTTACAACGCAACTCCCTTTCCACATCCCCAGATTAACATAAACAACCAGGACTGAAATTAATAAAATAAATTTCAAAGCCTACATTTTTAAAATTGACAAAGAGTTCTGAGCCTGTTTTGTTTGGCTTCTCAACTGGAAATAGTTTTAAGCAGCTCTATTTTCATGTCTCTTTGAAACTCAAGTCCTTGATGTCTCAAATAAATCAAAAACTGAAGAACGTAGCAATCACTCTCACTTGAAGACTTAGGTCAAAAACATCCATGATTACCTAAGAAGCAAGAACGCAGGCTGCCGTTCCATAAAACAGAGTTCAGCTGACCTAGTAACTCATCACTGCCATCCCATTCTCCTTTGTTCCTCCTCCTTTCTACTGTATCTTACCATTATATACTTTGAACCTATCAGCTCACTTAAACAAAAACACAGCAGAAGTGGACCGTCTTCTGCTGAGGTAGAATAAGGGTCACCTACTGAGGGGGCTGACAAACTGGCAAAGCAGAGACATAGGCACAGCAAGGTCTGCCTCTCAACAACTGGAAGGGACTGTGTCACTGGTTTGGGGCTGCATCATAAGGGCTTAGTTTCAAGAGACATGATGAACCAAAATAAACAGCTCTTCAAAGGCAAAGCAACCCTCCCAGCCCTGGTATTTACTCTTTGCTCTAATATAGTAAGTTGCTAAGATGACAGAAAGCTGTTGGCTCTCCCATCACCACTGCAGAATTCTGTCCTTCACTAAAAGTCAAATCAATGCAACACAAGGTATGACCTACACCTGAACTGGCATGTGGAAGGAGTGAGAAACAGGACTGCATGGCTGGCAGACGGGATGGAGAAGGGAGAAGCACGATTCTCCCTTTTGGCAGCAGCAGAATATCATCTGGCTCAACTTCACATGAAACTGCAGTCTTTATCAAACTGCTCTCAACAGATTCACTTGCACAGTTCAGGACAGCACGGATCCTTTATCACCTGAGTACAGACCAGAGCAGAGAATCAGACTCCTTCTGCCCCAAAGGAATTCAGAAATGCTTCCATGCACACAATGATTTACAAAAAAGCACTTTTAAACAAAAGACCTTGCATAGTGCCTGTCAAAAAGAAAGCCTAAGATATTATCAGTGAAAGAGGCACTGGACCAATTTTCTAACTACCCACCTGTTGCCAGCATTCTCACCAGACATAAAAGCATGAAGACAGGGAAATTATTTATCAGAACAGCTGACAATCCTCAACATCTAAATATCAAGCTCATCAGATCTGAAGGTCAGCCATTAACTTCCTTGAGTTGACATCCAAACAAGCTAATACTTGATCTTGGGGGGGGGTCTAGATATCCCTTTTGAACAAAGTACATCACTTAGCAGACAGTCACTGAGAAGGCAGTTTGGTGATCGGTGTTGAAGGGAAGTTTCACATGCACTCAAATATGACTGATAGCTTTAAAGTACAAGACCAGCCAACCAGCACTCTTATTTCTCAATCATAAGAAAGTGCTGCTAACAGTGGGTCTATCTAATTCACACATGAATATTCTAATCAATCACCTTAATTCACACATGAATATTCTAATCAGATACATTCACACATGAATATTCTAATCAGCTATCGCTTTCAAACTTTTCAACTGAAAAAACCTTCAAGGTAAAGATGCAATTGGCAAAGAGAAATTCACCCTTGTTGGAAATACAAGCAAAGATCAGATCATTGCTGGACCGCTGAATTTACACAGAGACTTCTGTGTGCAGCTTATCCAGCACATGCTACCTCTAAAAATATATTACTATTGTCACAACGTATCACAGAGAACTGATCATTGGTATCACTGACACATCATGTGACTTCTAATTACTTCTTATGGCAAATAAATGGTTCTCCTAAGACTTAAGAAAAAGAGTTTCAAATACATAATGCAAAAGATAAAAAGCTGTATTTCAAAATCTGTGTGGATTCAATTCCAAAACAACCACCACTATTCTTTGCTATTTCTTTAAGATATGTGGCAGTTCACTTAAAAGTGCCATGAGACAAATAGGAATAGAACTAAATCCTTCTCCATAATTAAACGGCACTCTTTTGTGTGTTTTAGATCCAGGCATGATAATGAAATGGGAAATGTGGCTCATCACTAACTCTGCTGCACCAACTGCGCTTTTGCAGATTCCCCTATACACGCATTCGGCTTTTCAACTGTAAAAAACTTTATAACTATTTTACACATGACTAAGAAAATGTGTGTTGTGCAGATAGCAAGGAAACAAAAAAACTTAACACAACTGTATTCACCTATAAATTGTCTGTCTGTCCTTATATACCTTCTGCTTATATTCTCTGTTATGAACCACTTTTCATTTTTCAAATACATTCCATTTCTACTTCTGCATCAAATCCAGTATTGTATAGAAAGAGAAAAACCAAGCAAGCAAAAGTCCAAGTTTTCCTCTGTGCACTTCATCCCATTAGGATATTTCACCCCCTAGACCTATCCATCCTCTCCTTTGCCACTTTCTCTACAGGAGAGTGGCAATCTATCTAGTATTTCATGGCCAATACAGGAGTTAAGAATCAAACTCTTCCATTCTTATCCTTTAGTTATTACATGAAGAAGGAAGAACTCATAAATGACTTGCATCTCCTGGTAAGCTGCTTTAGCAGCACAGTTAAGGAAACAATACATCTCACAAGAGACTACCATCAGAAGTTCAGGTACAGAAGTTAGGCACCAGCCTGGCTTACAGTACAAAGTAACTGTTAAGGCAATACAGAGATGGTCTCAGCACAGACAGATAGCAGATACAGCTACTGTTCTGCCCCTTCGTTTGCATCTCACTTTAACTCTGTGAAGCCAGGACAGAGCCCTTTAAAGAGGACAGTTAAGTTTCAGAATCAAGGTCCCTCATCTCTTCAATGCTAGCAGTTAGCCATCACTCAGCACAGGAGAGTACAGTGCAATTTGCAAGAATTATTGAAGGCTCTCTAAAACTCCCACTATATGCCACAAATACAGTTGAACAACTTAACTACAGGGAACTTTCCTACTTTGCTGCCATTCCATTTAACTCAGCACAAGGTTTTAACTGAAGTTACACTGCTCAGGCTTCTGCATATGCACTCAAGAGCAGATCTGAGCTACTGCACGTCTCTACAATGTTCTACATGCTCCAGGGCCTCGGAATGCCTCTGCTCTGGTCAAAGCAAATGAGAACAGCTGTTGGATATGTATCAGGTGCCTGCAGGTACACGTACTCAGCCAGTGCCCTTCACAATCTGCATCTTCTCCCCACCGCTCTGCTACATCAAGCCCTGCTGGGCTAACACGAGCAACACACACGCATTCCAGTATCTCAGGCTACAAGAGCTCTGGATTTACCTTTTCACTGGGTTCAGTATAACAAAATATTGTGGGCACGGCATTTTCTTTCAGAAGCTTGTTGTTGCATTCCCTTTTAAAGCAATCGGGAGTAAAGTGTTCTGAGCAAATGCTGCTATACTTGGTTGGCTTGAAGTTTTTCCTTTTAACAGCAGCTTCCCATTTCTTGCAAAGATCGGGTCGTGTAAGAGGAAACCTGTAAATAAGAAGCACTTTCAGCTTTTTTGGAAAGCTCTGCAACACGGGATTGGGTTACAGCTAAGCGCTGCTGTGACCGACGGACTGCACGATCACTCCGGTTTTCCTCCGTGGGGCTCATCTTCGGAGCCAAACCCCTCCTGGCCATCCAGACCCCACGCGCGGGCCGGTCCGAGGGTCTCGGCCCTCCGACGCCCCCGAGGTGTGTGGGGGTACCCCTGGCCCGGAGAAAGGCAGGGAGGAGCGCAATACCCCCCGGCTCTCCACACCGGGACCTTGCTGCAC